TTTGTCTTGAAATCCCTGTTATGCCGTGGGTTAAAAATTCTCAGAAAACCCACTGGATTGGGCACGCTTGGGAACCAAGCATTATCAAATGGAAGTGGTATGTTCAGGACAGAGCTGAGGTGGGGGTTGCTGCACTCCATGAGCAAGTAGTAGCTGCCCCCGTGAAGGATCTAGAAGTAAAGTTTGATCCTACAGTTGAACAGGAATCCCCTGTGAGATGGGGAAAGACCTTGGATCAGCTAAGGCCTCTTGAAAAGGAACATGCCTGGTTTACAGATGAGTCAGCTAAATATATATGAGGAAAAAGATTTTGGAAGGCAGTAGCCTGTCTTCCTCACTTGGAGAAATTTTTAGAGAAAACAGGAGAAGGGAGAAGTAGCCAATATGCTGAGTTATATACAGCATATTATATGGCTTTAAAACAAGAGGATTTGGGGGTGTCATCTATACACCAATTCTTGGTCAGTGCTAAGGGGTTGGCTACTTGGCTGCCAATATGGGTAGCCAGGAACTGGATAATTCTTGGCAAAACCTAGACAAAGATGTCTGTGGAAAGGAACTCTGGAAATAATTCAAAGAACTAAGGTGACTGTATTTCATATTGATGCCCATAGTAATATAAATTCACTAGAACAATTTAATAATTCTGTCACTGACAACTGGGCAAAAATTTCCCAAGCTGGATTGAACTTCCCTCAGGAGGAGGACCATGAAGGCTTGGTGAAATGGGCACACCAGAAGTGTGAATGTCTTGAGAAGGCCACTTAATAGTGGACCCAAGAGTGTGGCATAGTAATGTCACTTGATGTGATCAAAACCATAACTGCCTGATGCCCCATGTGCCAGCACACTCATAAATGTCTGGTGCCAAATATTGTGAAAGGAAAACTGGAGAGAGGGGAATTGCCAGGATAAATCTGGCAGGTGGACTACATTGGATCTTTACCCCAGGACCGAGGATGTAAGTGCATTTGCACATACAGCAGTAGACACATACTTTGATATTTGATTGCTCATCCCTGTGAAAAAGCTACTCACTATAGTGTACTATCTGTACCATAGACATAATGATCTGGTACTATGGAATCCCATTACAGATTCTAACGGATAATGGGTCTCATTTTTTAAACAAATTTGTCCAGCAATATGCCAAGCAGCAAAATATTTGGTGGATTTTTCCTATATTATCCACACGCTGCATGATTGATTGAACGGATGAATGTGCTATTAAAGGAGCAGTTAAAGAAGCTGGGAGATGGAAACCTGTGCAGGTGGAGAACTCCTCTCACAGATGCATGACATACTCTCAACAATAGACCCACACGGAGATGGAGACTCCCTACATGCTCACAACTACGCCCAGTTTGCAGATACAGCCTCTAACAGTTCAATGAAACTTTGACTGGCTGGAAAGTTATCCTGGGTGCAGTGGCCCCCTAAAGGGACGCTCCAGAGGCTGCTGGGTTAGGTCTTTATGCATTAGAATTGATAAAAATAAGTCAAAACCAGATGAGAGTTATTAACATCAGGGTAGGAGTCCAGATTCCCTTGGGACACTTTGGTCTGATAACTACTCACTCAAATTTAGCCCTAGGGGGTGTTCAAGTCATGGGAGGAGTGATTGATGCAGACCATCAATGAGAAATTAAGGTAATCTTGTTAAATAATGGTGAACAAAATTTGGTTGTTCAGCCCCATGATAGAATAGCACAGTTGCTGATACTGCCAGTTTTAAAAACAATGATGAAGAGGGAACCACCCTAACTTACCAGTGTACATGGGGATAAAGGGTTTGGATCCACCAGTTTTAGTAATGGAGCAAAAGTATGGGTTCAAGGGACAAGTGGCCCTCCTGAACTAGCTGAAGTAATAGCTGCAGGGAAGGAATCCTGAAGCTGAGTCAAGAAAAATAGGAACATGTCCACTCAAATAAGTGTTACTTGCGAGAATAACTAGGTGGTGTAGAACCTTATTTACAGTCCCAGTGCAGAGCCAGTGAGAGTGCGAGGACGATGTGAAGAGTCTCAGTTTCTGTGTAATGAGGGACACTATGCTCCCTTACTGTGGAGACGTGGTGGTGATAACAGTATCACACAGTGCATGTGCTGTGTGCGGGTTGTGGCTATAGGAGGGACTCCCCAGCTCTTCATGGCAAGGGGAGTTCCCCGGATGGCAGGGCCAGCACACGAAGCTGTCTCTGAGTCCCTGCTCTATAACTGGGCTCATGGCCTGGCTGCTACCATTGCCCATGGCTTGGCTCCTCACCCGGCTTGCTCCCTTCTTCACATCCACTGTGGTGGGTGAGGGCTGGCACCTTGGATCTTTGGTGTGTGATGTGGAAGGAGAGGGAGCAGTTTGGCTGCTGGTCTGCCTATTAATGGTAATACCATTCTATATTGGACTAGTGATCAGCAGAAGAAAGGTTATAGCAAAAATTTATTATCTTATTGGGGTAGAAATCAAATGATAGATTTAGGGGCATTGTTCTGTTTCTGCCGTAAAACTACCAGTTAAATGTAATAAGGAAAGGAAGAGCAAATGTTTGTCACACATTTAAATTTAATCTGCTGTGTTACTTTAATGTGGTTCTTCCTGTATGCCAGTCTAGTCTTACTTTTAAATTAGCACTGTGTTCTAATCTTGTATCTGTCACAGTCTTAAAGTTCTCATATCAAAATCACAAATGAAATTACTGAACTGACTTAATCCCTGAGGAACAGGTAAAGTTAGCCATTTTAATTATTCCTTCTTGGTATAACCTATTTTACCCCTTCTGCCAGTTCTGTATTCACCTAAGAATTTAATTAGTAATCTTTTGCATTTTCCACCTTGAATTTTTCTGTGCCTCATACTTTGCTGAAGAATAGTCAGCAGCTGATTCATATGGCAGTGGTGATAACATAGGTAAGGAAAAATGTATCAGCATGGGTAAAACAATGCATTACTGCCTACTTATGCTCGTTCTATTGACCTGCTTGTTCTTGTCAAATCTGAGACTTTAGGTAATGTTGAGGTCAAAGTAATTATTTTTGGTGGCTGATTATTCTATGCCAGGGAAGCTACAGGAGTCGGAAGTTTGCTCTGCTTAGTCATGGAATATGGCTGCTAAATGGGTTTTTGGAAATCTCTACTAATACTCTCCATCCCAGACTAGTTATCTGATTATAACTGGATACATAGAGTTACATAGATCCAGCAAGTATAGGGACTTAATGCTTAGTGATAAGCAGAAGATGATATGGTACATCATCATCTAGTGTTCTCCTTAGGATGTCTGACTGAAGCTGAGTGAGTTTCTCTTTATACCAGTGCCAGCTAGTTCACCCACTGCTCACTCCTTCTGCTGTAATATCTCCTTGTACCGATGCAGCTGTTAGGGGAGCCATATCATTGCATTGACCCAAGTCTAAAATAAGCCTTTTTTTCTTATTTTTTTGGTCTGAGTTATGTCAATATAATTAAAATGAGCAGCCAAAGTGATAAGGAAATGAGGCTGCCTAGGACTGCACTGTTGCTAAAGGTTATGCTCATGAATTTATACCTTTAGTGATCGTGCTGACAAGAAGACCCCAACCCTCAAAATTAAAGCTGATTTTGCTGGGTTTGAAAATTAAAAGTCTTAAAAAAAAAAAAAAAAAGGGGGTGGGCTGGGAAGGTGAAAAAACACAAGCAAATTTTTCCATGGAGAATTCTTAAGTTATGTCTCAGCATAGTGCAGAGTCTAATACTGATGTGTATTTGTATCAGCTCCTTTCTTATTTTTATTTAATGAGCCACTGGTCCTTGAGTATTTGTGGGTTTTTTTCCTGCAACTATTTTGGAGGGAATACAGTAGGGATGATTGCCTATTCGTCCTAATATACCTTTTTGTGGCTAATGCTTTTAACTGGTTGTTGCAAGCGTATTTGTATTAACTTCATTAATGAAGTCTTGTAACAATATGGTGTCAGAAAGGTACTTTCCTGGGAAACAAAAAAACCCAAATTTGTTTTCTGGGTTTGGTATAACTGTCATCACAGTACTTCTCTGTGGAAAGAAAGCAGAGGCTAAAATTGGTTTTATGAAGCTGCACGCCTTTTCCTGGTGATATTAATACATTGTAATTGGAAGTAGTTTAAGTCTTTAAGAATCCAGTGGTTCCAAAATAGTGATGGGAGGGTGAGGAGGTGCAGGCACTTGATTTGTCAGGATTCATGACTTGCAGTGACACAAATAACACTGGGTTCCTTTTCAGTCTTTTGAAATAAAACGTTCTAAGTACTGTCTATGATTGCATCAATAAGTACTCATTAAATTTAATGTAAGTATAAATTCCTTCAGTGAAGATCACAAGGTGTGTAAAGTCTAACATAAGAGGATACCGGAGTATTTTACGCAGAGGTTTCTGCAAATGGCAGTAAAGTAGGGTGAACTGTAAACATTACATTTGACTTCATTAAAGAAAGAAATGTGACTATTTCAGCATGCAGGAGAATGTGTGTATTTGAGATAAACTTTCTTTTGACTGTTCTGTTTTATATTTCCTAATGCTTATGGCTTCTTTTTACGGGCCTGAATCTTTGAGCATCAAGTTTGACACAGAAGTTAGAATCAAATAAAAGTCTGTTACTGAAGTAATTAATAAATTGTCTTTTAATGTAATTTAATTATGTACTGAATGAAAAAAGAGACCTAAAACTTGAGTGCCTCACGAAGTAATTTGGGGTGGTCAGAGAACCGGTTAGAATAATTTCAAGACAGAAAAATAGAATTGCAATTTCCAAGGAGACAACTGTGTGTGCCTTTTTTTTTGAGCACACGTAAGACATTCTCATGAAGTTTTATCTTGCAGTGCTACTGTATGTTTTTGCAATGAAATGGTTGTGGATGAGTTTTATGACAGATAAATATAGTGCTAAAGACCAAGGTCTGGGACTACAGTAAAAATGTAGCATTTTACTGTTTGTCTTCTGTATAAATTACAGTGTTTTTCCATGTTAACTTTCAGTCTTTCTTTTTAGTCCTTATTTTGGGGAAGAGTTTTACTTTGAGATTCCAAGAACATTCCAGTGGTTGTCCTTCTACATTTATGACAAAAGTGTTCTACAAAAAGACCTGCGTATAGGTAAGTTCTGGGGTGCGGTCTACATCTTGCATAACATTTGGTTATTTTCAGTATCAGCATCTGTAGTATTAAGGATACAACTATTGAAATTATGCTTTTTTCAAATCAGTGTATAGTGCACTTAAACAAACTGTTCCTTTAAAGTTTGAAAAGCAGGACTTTGTTTCCTTGCTTTATTATATTCTACTAAAATATGTGTATTTTTGGGCCACTAGGATGTTTTATAGTCTTATCATTGTAGTCTCCATACACTTTTTTTTAATTGTTTGGGGTTTTGTTCCACTTGTACTTCATTGGAGAACTTGAATAATTACTACTTCCTTGAATAATTACTACTTCCTTTAGATCTTTAAAGAATTAACTGTAGGGTAATCCCACAATAAGTGCAATTGTGGAATAATTATTAAAACTATTTATAGATATTTGTATTTTCTCTGTCAGTGCAACGTGTCACTTAATGACTTACAAGGTGGTGCAAAATGTTTAATGTAGCTTAGGTGAAAAATTACAGGAGGTGGATTCCCCACCCTGCATAATGACTCTGTTGCAGCTGCTATTTGGATATAGCTGCTATAAAGCTATAACAATCCACTGTGAAAGAAGCCTTCATATTGAGGAAGGAAATAATTTGCACTAGGATGCCAGATAATTTGGTATAATAATAGCTCTAAATATCAGGCAGAAGAATAAAAGGCATATACCTTCAGTTTTGTATTTAAACATTCTTCAACACTGTTACTGTTCTCTCAAATCTTTATTATGTTATTTCCAGCCACAAACGTGTTCTTTGTTTTACGTAATCTTGTTATTAGTGGTATCAAAGATAACACATCATAATTAATTTTATTTGGCTTTATATAAGGTATTCTTCTGCTTTACCTATGCTTCATGTTCCTTGTTTCCATAAGGTTTTTGTATAGCATCATCATCTTAAAAAAACCCCTAAAGGCAAGAATTTAAAAAAAAAAAATTACAATTGATTTAAATACTTGCTCTAATCAGATGAAAATGGTACTTAATCTCTCCCTGCCCCTGTCCCCCAGGAAAGGTAGCAATCAAAAAAGAAGATTTATGCAACTACACAGGAAAAGAGAACTGGTTTATGCTTCAACCTGTTGATTCTAATTTGGAGGTTCAGGTAACTATTAAATTGAGCATTTACATTTTTAAAATTAAATATAGATAAGTGCATGTGATGGTAGAAGTTTATATTGAGCTGTAGGAGACAGAGGTTAGCATTTGTAATTCTTGTGAGACAGTTGTCTTTCAGCTTGATTAGAGAATAATGCATATGCTGCCTTTCTACATTGGCTGTGTTTTTCCTCTTGGTGCTTAAAACTGGCAGAAGTCTTGAAGCAGCTGTGTGGGAAAAGTTGTAACAGAGTTGATGTCTATAATCTTTGCAAGAGGAGCAATGTACTTGAGACAAGGGGATGGTTTAGGGAACTACTGAATCTTTTTTTTTTAGTCAGTTTTGGCGTTATCTGAAATGATGACTGGTTATGTGATATGAAATGGTTAAAGTGTCCAAAATTGTGCTGTGCTCATTTATCTTATTTTGAAGTATTTTCTGCATTCCATATCAAGTAACTTGCACTTCAGAGTTTTAGCTTGGTCTGTGGTTCAAGTTCTCCTGACATGATTCTTCTAGTAATACATAAAAATGAGAAAATTGCAGCGATTATCTTTTTGTTTTGAGGAAGAAAACAGAACAGCATTCTTGACTCTCTTAGCCTTGTTGCTGTGATAAACAGTTTACTAGATTTTAATACTTTTTTCCGATTTGCCTAAGGTCAAAAGTGTTGAACTTGGGCGTGTTTGTATTTTTCTAGTAACTGGGAAATCCCTCTGTATAGGGAGAACCCTGTCTACTTTTACAAGAGGTGAACGTGCACAGAATTCTCAAAAAAAAGTCACGTTATTTTCTAGCATCTATGAGCTGTAAGTTTAGCATGCAGCTGTTAGGTGTATAGGAGGGCATGTGATTGCCTTACCTGAAGACAGATTTTCAAAACGTCTGAATACCACTTTCTGTTATCTGTTGAAAATCAATCCTCACTCAGTTAGGGTAGAATACAGCAGAATAGTTCAGTTAGAACGGACCTACGGATTATCTAACCCAACTTTGAGTTGTTTCATTCTGTTTCCAATTCTTCCCTCTAATCGCTGAATATTCTAGGATGTCCCTTCCAGATATAAACTGAAATGCAGTGTCTGCTTTGTGTTAAATATTGTCATGCTTGCTATGTTTTTTCTTGGTCAGAAAAATTTACTGAATGAAAGATTACTTTTTGTCATAATACTATGTAAATAAGAAAATCAATTATTATGTTAATAGAATTTAGCAATTTCGTACATATTGGAAATAAAAAGGTTTTAGTTTTTCGTGATTTTGTAGCTCACAGTTACATGTAAGCTCTATTGATACTTTTCGATGGCTGAGAGATGTGTAAATCTCCTGCATGACATTTCCCTTAAAGGGATGACATTTTCTGCTAAGGTGTGTTCCTTTCATGTTAATCCTTGAGTTAGGACACCTAGCTAGGTTTCTCTTCTGACCTGCTTCCTTTTTCTATGAAATTTGTAAAAGCAGAGCTGAGAACAGTTCCCATTTGCCAAATTTAGTTGACATCTGTTTGGTTTGAATGTGCCATACCTTACTAAACTGTATTCATAGGAGATTCCTAAGATTACTGGTGGGACATGGCTGAAAATAACACAATTTCACGTAGTGTATGTGCAGGAAAAGTACATCAAATGTTTTATATAAGTTTGGAAGAATTTCTTTCAGTAAAGAGTAGTGAGGCATTGGAACAGGTTGCCCAGGGAGGTGGTGGAGTCGCAATCCCTGGAGGTGTTCAAAAAAATTGTGTGGATGTGGCAGTTGGGGACATGGTTTAATGGTTGTGGTAGTGTTGGGTGATGGTTTGGCTTGATGATCTTGGAGATCTTTTCCCAACATTAATAATTCTATGATTCTATAAAGCTAGATAACAGTTGTAGGTGGGGGGGAGAGGATGGAATGGTTTTTGGGTGTGCTGTCTCCTTACGATGGCACCATACATGCAGTTGATGTTTTTTCCTCTAGTTCCCTCCATGTGAGTATTTTCCAGAATTTATGCTGACTGCAAGGCACTAGGATGGCTTAGAAGTATTTGTTTTGTTATATGCTTGTTATATACAGGATACATTGCAGTTTGCTTGGTTGGTTGTGGGTTTTGTTTTTTTTTTTTGCCTTAAATTTTGTTTCTAGAACACTGTACTTTCTGTCTACGAGTGACCTATTTTTCATACATGCTAAATTTGGTATAAGGTGCCTGTGTATCAGGTACACTGACAGTTTCTAGAAAGGCTTAGAATAAGTACATTAAATGCAACGTCTTGTCTTTTGTGGAATTACCAAGAATTAATCTTGCTGATTCCTACAAAAGAAAACTGAGCTGGGGATGTGGGATAATAAACAGACCAGTCATTATCTAAAACTGCCTTATTTGTAATAAATTTTGGGCTTCTCTAGGTCACAGTCCACTCGAAATGCAGAAGCTGTAGACCAGTAGTTCTCTATGCAGAATCCAAATTCCACAGATCTGTACATATAGGTAGTCTGAAGTGATGGTGATTAAAAGTTCATCAGAATAAAAGCACCGTGTGCTTGAGTTAATGTAAGTTTTTGGTGAAAGAAAGCTGATAAATATTTCTTTTCAAGTGTTTATGGCAGAAGAGTGGCCTCTCCCCAGCCACTGCAAGTGTATAGAAGTACTTTGATTTTTAGAAAGCACCTGCTCTGTGTTTGATCTTAGCTGGATTTTTGTTGTTGTTTTGCTGCTGGATAGAGGTCATTTAGGCAAGCTGGACACTCACAAATCCATGGGCTCTGATGGGATGCACCCATGAGTGCTGAGGGAGCTGGCAGCTATTATTGTTAAGCCATTCTTCATGATCTTTGAAAGATTGAAGAAGAGGAGAGGTGCCTGAGGTCTGGAAGAAAACCAGTATCACTCCAGTCTTCAATAAGGGCAATAAGGAGGACCAAAGAAACCACAGACCAGGCAGACTCACCTCTGTCCCTGGAAAGGTGATGGGACAGCTTATTCTGGAGGTCATTGCTAAATGTGTAGATAAAAATGGAGTGGTCAGCATGGATTCACCAAGGGAAAATGATGTTTGGCCTATTTCACAGTCTTCTACAATGTCATGACTGGCTGGGTAGATGGGAGGAGAGCAGCGAGTGTAGTCTACCTTGATTTCAGTAAGGCTTATGACACTGTCTCCCATAACATCCTCTAGGTTAAGCTTGGGAAGTGTGGGTTAGATGAGTGGACAGTGAGGTGAACTGAGAACTGGCTGAATGACAGAGCTCAGAAGGTTGTGATCAGTGGAGCAGAGTCTAGTTGGAGGCCTGTAGCTAGTGAAGTTCCAGTACTGGGTCCAGTTTTGTTCATCATATTCATCAGTGACCTGGATAAAGGTATAGATTGTACCCTCAGAAAGTTTGCTGGTGGAACAAAATTAGGAGGATTGGCTGACACACCAGAAGGCTGTGCTGCCATTCAGTGAGACCTGGACAGACTAGAGAGTTGGGCAGAGGGAAACCTCATGAATTTCAACATGGGCAAGCATAGAGCCCTGTACCCAGGGAATAATAATCCAGTGCACCAGTACAGGTTAGGTGTTGACCTGCTGGAAAGCAGCTCCATGGAGGACCTTGGAGTCCGGGTGGTTAACAAGTTAACTATGAGCCAGCAGTGTGCCCTTGGGGCTAAGAAGGCAAATGTTATCTTGGGGTGCCTTAAGAAGAGTCCAGCCAGTGGGTTGAGTGAGGTTCCACTCCCCTTCTACTCTGCCCTAGTAAGGCCACATCTGGAGTACAGTGTCCAGTTCTGGGCTCCCCAGTTCAAGAGACTGTATTGGGTCTGGCTGAGCTGTTTTCCCAGTGCAGCCCTCCTGGTGCAGTGCTCTTGTGCTGGGAGTTAGAAGGGTGTTGGTAACACCCATGTTGTGACCACCACTGAGCAGTGCTCGTACAGCACCAAGGCTTCCCCCCAGTGGAATGGGGGGGGGCAGGAGCTTGAGGGGACATAACCAGGGCAGCTGACCTGAACTGACCAAAGGGATGTTCCACACCATGTGATTTTGGCTCAGCTATAAAGGTAGTACAAAGGAGGAGGAGGGGGTGAGGAGGTGGGCTACTCCTTGGTCGTCCGCAGCAACTGCTATGTGTTTTGGGGCCCAGCTTCCCAGGAAGGGGCCAGACATCCCCTGCTGATGGGAAGCAGAGAATAAGTCTTTGGGTTTTTTCCTCTTCGCTTCTGCATGCAGCATTGCTTGGCTTTGCTTTTCCATTGAACTGCCTTTGTTTTTACCCACAAGGGGTTTTATCTCCATTTTATTTTCCTTTCCCCTTTTGCTCTGCAGAGGAAGAAGAGGAAAGGGGGATGGTGATAGAGTGGCTTGGTGGGCATCTGGTGCTCAGCCAGGGTTAACCCACCACAGAGACACAAGTAACTCCTAGAGAGAGTCCAACAGAAGTCTGTGGATATACTGAGGGACTGGGGCATCTCTCTTAAGAGGAATGGCTAAGAAGAGAATATCAAGTTCTTCATGGGTTCTTACCAATGATTATCAAAATGTAAAAGGTGTCAAGAGGATGTGGCCAGACTCTCTTCAGTGGTGCCAGCAACAGGACAAGGGGCAATGGGCATAAACTGGAACACAGGAAGTTCAATCTGAACATAAGGAAAAGCTTCGTTACTTCAAGGGGGGCAGAGCATTGAAACAGGTGCCCAGAGAGACTGTGTAGACTCTTTCTCTGGAGATACTGAAAAGTTGCCTGGACACAGTCCTGGGCAGCCTGCTATAGGTGACCCTGCTTTCCAGTGAGGGTTGGACTAAATGATCCACAGAGATCTCTTCCAGCCTTTGCCATTCTGTGATTCTGTTTGGAGCAAGGTTATAGTACCAACTTTTCGTCATCTCGATTAAGTTGCATATCGTGGTTTGAAGTTTTTGGAGCCTTTTACTGAGAAGGTAGAGTAGGCTGGCCCTTGGTGAGTTCTGAAGTTAACCCATGCTGTGCCATCATTTATGGATTCTTTTTCTTAAAAAAGCCTACCATATTGGAAAAAGAACAGGAGGAAGCCAGGTTCAGCAATGACTGCTACCTTTTCCTCTCCTTTTGGTTGTGGTTACTGTTGCATGACTACATCAGCAGACTTAATGAGATAGTTGAAAGCTGCACTGTGATGCATAATACATTTGTAAATCATCTTCAGTCTGGTGGGATGGACAGGATTTCACAGCTGGATGTTAGCTGGTTATGGCTACTGTGTGCTACTCTGTTTTTTTAAATAGACATAACTGCCTTCAGAGTCCAAGGACATTTTAGAACCTTCTGGAATACTCATAAATTCACTGTCTGTTCAAGAGTTCATCCCATGCTTAGGACAAAAAACCTGGAAGGGACTTTGGCTTTTGGTACTTCCTTATGCTGGAAGACATGTTTTTTGTGTTACATCTGGAGGCTTCACCCATTCATGTTCTGTCTGCAGCTGAGGATAATTCTGTTTATCATTGTTACTCAAAGTTCAAATGTGGTGGTTATATTCAACTTGGATGATACGTGCTTTAAAATACATATTTGAGGGAACTGGGGTTGTTTAGCCTGAAGAAAAGGAATCTGAGGGGAGACCTTATCACCATCTACAACTACCTGAAAGGAGGCTGTAGAGAGGTGGGGCTCAGTCTCTTCTCCCAAGTAACAGATAGTAGGAGGAAATAGCCTCAAGTTGCACCAGGGGAGGTTTAGGTTGGATGTTAGGAAAAACTTAATTGAAAGGGTTATTAGTTATTAAGCATTGGAACAGGTTGCTCAGGGGGGTGGTGGAGTCACCATCAACCCTGGAGGTATTTAAAAGATGTGTAGACCAGGTGCTTAGGGACATGGTTTAGTGGTGGGCTTGGTAATGTTAGGTTAATGGTTGGACTTAATGATCTTAAAGGTCTTTCCCAACCAAAATGATTCTATGATTTACTTGAAGTAGATATATTGCAATTACCTTAAATAGCTTCTAACTGTAAACTGTTATCTTTCTAATCACCACTTTTAAAATACAGGCTTTTAAAACTATTTGTTTCTCTCTTGTTTGTTTTTTTTTTTGTTTTTTTTCAGGGAAAGGTTCACCTTGAATTAAAACTGAATGAACTGATAACAGATAATGGATCTGTGTGCCAGCAACTAGTAGTACAGTAAGAAAAAACATTAATCCTTGAATGCCTAGCTTTTTGTTAGAACATTGTGTGATTTGCCTCTCTTAATACTGAATGTCTGCACATCCTGGTACCAGTAACATTTTTCTTTTTATATGACTTCCCTTAGAGCTTACCTTGCTGAGGGAGTGGGCGTATGCTTAGGAAACTTGTGCAGAAGTTTTTCACAACTGCTATCTTTATTGCTCTCAAAGCATTAACTGTAGGCTTTTAACTGTACTACTGTGGCTATCTAGTATCATTAGTTCAGTGTCTTATGATTCCAGTTGAATTGGTTCTGGAGAAAAAGGTAGAAATTCCCACTGCAACTGACTGCTAGAACTTGAAGACCAGTTACTGACAGAGTTCAGCTGCTGCTAGTGGTTTTGGAACAGCATGAAACTCTTCCAGTAGCAGTATTTTGGCTTGGTATGCAAAAATTCACTTTTAGTTTTGCTTCAGAATTACTTTCTCATGGTTAACCATGATAAGGAATGTTTATAAAAATACAGCATACAGGAGTTGCTGTTCTGGAGCAGTGTAACATTGCCACATTTCAGTAAAATTTTGTAACAGCGGCTTAAGGAGTTTTCACTAACAGAGTTAATTTTGACTCCAAAGTGTAAATACATTACTAGATGTCCAAAAGCCTCAAAGAAACAGTGAATTTTTGGTATATGTTATTTCAGAAAAGACTGATTTCACCAATGTTAAAGAAAAAGCAGAGAATGAAACATATTGGAAGATACTAACCGGTCTGTACTCTTGTGTTACTGTATTTGAAAATAGTCCTATGTGATGGCTTTGGGAGTATGAATATACAGGTTGCAGATGTTAGCCACAGAAGACCAAAATTCCACATATACTGATCATAGATTGGAAGGGACCCTAGAGATCATGTAATCCAACCTCCCTGCCATGGGCAGGGACGTGTCTCAAGTAGACTAGGTTGCTTAAGGCTTCATCCAACCTGGCCTTAAACACCTCCAGGGAGGGGCCATCCACAGCTTCTCTGGACAAGCTGTTCCAGAGTCTTGCCACCCTTGTACTAAAGAACTTGTTCCTAAGATCTAGTCTAAACCTACTCTCCTTCAGGTTAAAATAATTTCCCCTTGTCCTGTCGCTGGACACTCTTGTGAAAAGTCCCTCTCCAGCCTTCCTGTAGGTTCCCTTCAGGTATTGGAAGGCAGTTAAAAGGTCTTCTCCAGGCTGAACAATCACAGTGCCCTCAGCCTGTCCTCATAATAGAGATGCTTCAGCCCCTGAATGAACTTTGTTGCCTTCCTCTGGACTTATTCCAACAGGTCTATGTCCCTGTTATAGTGGGGACACTGGAACTAGACTCAGTATTTGAGATGGGCTCTCACAAGAGCAGAATGAAAGGGGAGAATAACCTCTCTTGATCTGCTGGCCATAACCCTCTTGATGCATCCCAGGATACAGTTGGCCTTCTGGGCTGAATGAGAACAATGCCAGCACATGTTGAGCTTCTTGCCAGTCAACACCCCCAAGTCTTCTTCTGGCCTGCTCTCACCCAACTCTGTTCCCAGTTTGTAATTGTGCCTGGGATTGGCCCAACCCAGGTGCAGGACCTTGCACTTTGATTTGTTGAACCTCATGCAGGTTGCATTGGCCCATTTCTCAAGCCTGTCAAGGTCTCTCTGGATGGCCTCCCTTCCTCAAGTGATTTCATTGCATCACAGAGCTTGGTGTCATTGGCACACTTGCTGAGGGTGTGCTCAGTGCCAGCGTCCGTGTCACTGACAAAGATGTTAAACTGCACGGGGCCCAGAACAGACTCCTGAGGAACTCTGAACTGTGCTTGTCACTGGTCTCTACCTAGACTTTGAGCCATTGATCACAACTCTTTGAGTGCGTCCTTCTAGCCAGTTCCTTATCTACTGAGTGGTCCATCCATCAAGTCCATGTCTCTCCATCTTAGAGACAAGGATGTCATGCGGGACAGTGTCAAATGCCTTGCACAAGTCTAAGTAGATGATGTCCGTTGCTCTTCCCAAATCTATCAGAGCTGATCATTCTGTTTCTTTTTATGTGTTATTAAGCAATACATTTAAGGCCAGAAATTGATAAGAAGCCAATGCAAATACAGCTATACAAAAATATTTTGACACTATCATAAATGTTTGATATGGGTATATTAGAAGATCTCTCTAGAAGAAAATCCTATTCTTTGTTTTGGAGAAGTCTCACAGCCTTCCATGTTACTTGCCTCTGGGAGACTGTTCACTTTCATTGAACAGATCAGTGGAAGCCAGTGACTTGCAGAGATTCTGTGAGGTTGACAGCATTCTCTTGTGACTCTTCTTAATATTTCCAGCATGAACAAGGTTGAGGAGAACAAGACAGGCCTACTGTAGTTTTTTTTGTTTCAGTGCTTCAGAAAGAAATAAAGGCTTTTCTGCTCTTGTCCTAAGTGGTTGTGGGATAGGCCATGTGAAGAAAAGGGTACAGACAAGGGGTTAAACAGACTAAGGGAAAACAAAGATTAAAAAATCAAAAGGTAGTAAGATTCTTTAATTCTTCTTTCCAACATTCTTCCTTGACACATTTATTCAGAGAGTGAGATTTCTTTGAGTTTTGATGGGTTTTTTGTTTGTTTAGGTTGTGGTTTTGTTTGTTTGTTTGTTTGTTTTGGGGTTTTTTTGTTAGGTTTTATTTAGTTATTATGGTGGGGTTTTTTCTGATCTTAATAAGTATTCTCTGATAATTTAGTATGAGAGAATGGGTTGTATTGTAAAACTGACGGAAGGAGGTGGTGTATGGTCTTTTTGTTGTCTCAGTGGCTTCGTGTTCAGATCAGCTTCAGGGAGCACGGGAAGACCACTACACTGTTAGATATGCTAATATAATGTTCATTAGGAAGCTTAGATTGCACTCATCCTCTCTATGTCAAGTATCTAAACGAGGGTGAGTAGTTTAGTTGCAGCAAGACCTAGAAAAATAATCTCTTGGCTTTCTGTTACTTGTTATGAAAAGGGAAGCTAGTTCTGTCATAGAACAAAGCCAATGAAACTGGTAATGTTTAAGTGGCTACTGCAGGCCAATGATTCAGGTGAGATATGGAAACTTGCTGTACACCAATGTATATTTATAATTTAAAGATAATTCTGACTGTGTTTCTAGTTGTATAGCAGATGGTAGCTTGGTTTATTGGGAGTCCTGCTGCTCTTATTTTTGTAGCCTGCTTGCAGCACAAGGCAGAATTAGAATGGCTTTTCACCCATGAACTATTCACTACCAAAAGCTCAGTGGAGCTTCATGACTTGCTGTTTTATTCCCAACTTTACTTTCTGATGGATGTAATTATTTAATTTTATATATAAATACATATTTTTATATATATACATGCACTTTTGTCTAAGTTAAATAATTTTTAAAATATTTTTAAAACATGTTTGGATTTTTCATATGATAAAGAAGAATTGCTTTAGAAAGTTACTGTTGTAGGTTGCAGTTTTAAGTAGGAAGTGGGTTACTCACTCTGCCCTCACTTAGGATCTCTTTATGATGGAGATAAATGGTCAAAAGGAAGTCAGGGTTCTCTGGTGGTTGCTGTACTCACCCACTCATTGACATGTGAGAGAGGGCTGTGCATTAAACACTGCAGTATTACATCAGGACTTTTGTCTTCGTCTGAGATTATGAAATGCACTGAAGTTCCTTAAAATGCTACTGAACATTTTTAGTTTATCACGTGTGCTGGTAGCTTTGAAATAATTGGCTATTTAAGTAATACATTGTACATAAATGTTTTTTTTTTTTTTAATGTACCTGTGACAGTGTGATAAATAAGACATCTTTAACTGCATATAGTATTGCAGAAATTAATGTAAGGGCATTTTTGAGACACTTTAATATCAAAAGTATGAGGGACTTACAGAAAATACAAAAGATTCTTTAATAGAAAATTCAAACTTTAAAAAAAACTGCTTATTTTGTATATTTCTAAGGATAATTAGTAAGTGATCCACTTATTGCTGTTTTGTTTGTCACCAGGCCCTGAGAAGTCATTGTACTAGCAACGCCTTTAACAAAGCTGAAAGAGAGGAAGTAGCAGAACTGTGACTGAATTAAAAAAAAAATAAAATTTGGTGTATATGTATATATCTGTCCCTGCCACTTCTTGTTGTGTCCAAAACTGAAAAAAGAACTGGCCAAAGAAAAAAAGTTGTGGAAAAAAGTAGTTCTTAAAGCAGGGGCTATAATACTTGTGTTTAGGAGCCATGTTTTGCTTCATGTCCAAATTAATAACCTGTTAATGTAATGAGTTGGGGAAGCTTTTCACCAGTTACTTTTTTTTGTAGCATGAGAGAATTCTAGATGCTTATGCTGGCTTCTGTGCATAGGTTAGTTTCTAATGGATTTACATCTTGTATTCCCCGAGAGTCCAGAAATTGTACAAAGATGAAAAATAGTAGCCATAACTTTCACAACACAAGATTAATGATCTTAATTACACAGACAGTAGCAAGTAATTCAAGGGCTGTGGTTCTGAGCATTATCTGCAGGCCCCCATCACTGTTTTTTGTGGCTGAACCAAAGTGATAGGATTAGACATGACTAGAAGGTGAATCCATATTATTTTGGTTCTGTGGACATGGTTATGGAAGTATTTTTGCTGATCTTCTAGATTGGTTTTATGGTGAAGATTGATTTTAAAACTGATGGTAGTTCCAGTAGGAAACAATTTTTAAAAGTTAAGGATTTGGACAACAAAGAGGTAATGATGATATTAACCTCTTACATCCAATGTGTGAGGGAGGAAGGCTTCATTTCTCATGCTAGTATGTGTAGTAAGCTCAACTTTTCCAAACAAGAGGTTTTAGGGAAAATAATGTGATTTTGTAAAGATAAATGTTACTGCATATGATGAAGGGATGGTCAGTTGTCGTATAACAAAATGAGGAATGTGATTCCTCATGTTCCTTTTTGTCCTCTGTCTTCCCTGCCTGCCCCCTTCTGGTTTTGTTTTTCATTTAGATCCTTATTAGGGTTCTATTTCAGCAAAGCTGTGGATAACAGGGAAAAAAAAAACAAACCTATCACTTCTTAAAAATCAGAAGTTTCCTTCTTTTATTCAAGTTGACAAAAGTGGTCATGTACAAGATAGACCCAAAAGTGACTGATCAGGGCTTACTTGATGCCATGGAGGGAATAAAACAAACAAAATTTTTTTAAATTTATTTTCAATTTTCTTAAGTTGGGATATTCTGAAGCCAGCTAGGGCTTTCAGGTTGTATAACCATTCTAAAAACATGATCTTGAAATACAGCTTTTTCCTTGGAGAAAGTAAAATAGAGGCTTGTAGTTGCTTATCTTATATAAATGAAGCCCTTACACTTTTTTGAAATACAAGCATAAAGTTAGTCTTCCTTTAGTGATGAGCTACCTTAGAGACCACTTGCAGTATGCTAGGCCCTGACTTTACACCTTTGGGTTTTTTTTATTAGTTGGAAGCTTCCTGTTAAACTTCATGCAAATACACAGACCACTTCTGATTTTATTTTTTTTTCCTCCGATACTAGTTGTTTCTTTTTCTAATGTGTGAATGAGGAGAGGGGAAAAAGATAATGCAATAGGTTAACTGCTGACTCAATGTGGGCTCTTTTTCAAAACCACAGTGGCATGTATAGTAGCACGTTTAGAAAATAAATGCTTGCAGCTCTCCTGTCTGGGAGTCTGTAAAAACTAAGTTTGCATGACCTTTGTTTGCATATTTGCTTCTGAAGCAGATAATTCTTGAACACTTTCTTGCCAAATTAGGCTATTGGCTGGTAGTACTTGCCTTCTCTGTGTTTATTATGTCTTACAAGCATGTTTTAACATGTTTTTACATGTCTTATGAGGAGCAGCTGAGGGAACTGGGATTCTTTAGTTTGTCGAAGAGGAGACTGAGGGGAGACCTTATTGCTTTCCACAACTACCTGAAAGGGGGTTGTAGTGAGGTGGGGGTTGGTCTCTAAACCCAAGTAACTAGCGATAGGGTGAGAGGAAATGGGCTCATTTGTTGTTGTGCCAAGGGATGTTTAGATTGGATTAGGAACAATGTCTTTCATGAAAGAGTGATGAGACATTGGAACAGGCCGCCCAAGGAGATGGTAGAGTCGCCATCCCTGGAGGTGTTCAAAAAATGTGTAGGTGTTGTACTTCAGGACATGGTGTAGTGGTCAGGGTCAGTGTTCGGTTGACAATTGGGCTTGATGATCTTAGAGGCCTTTTCCAACCTTAATGATTCTATGATTCTAACATGACTTCAACTCTGAAAGAAACAATTTTATGTATTTACAGTGTGAATACTTGAAAACCCAGAAATTGCTGATAGTGGTAATAGACATTTTTGCACAGGATCATTATGCCAAGTATGCAGGTTATTCATGCAGTAATCAAAGAAGGAGTGACAAACTCTGTGCGTAGGGGAGGAAACTGCTTTCCGTAGGGTGTCTCTCTGCTAGAGAAATCCAGGAGCTTGGTGAACAGAGGCTATAGGAGGAGAAATTGTATTGTTCTGTTTAAAATAGTTGAGTTCTATGTAGATGTGTTTGATTTGATCCATCTGCCATGAATTTCCTGAGATTCACGTTGAGGTGAACTTATGGGTACACTCAGCACTCATACCTGAAACCAAAAATCTCTTGGGAGCTGCAGAGACAGTATGTTTAGTGCTACAAAATGCCTGATAGTCTGACAGAATCAAGTCCTGGCAACCTCAGATCAGATACCCCAAATGACTGAGAAGTCTAGACAGTTTAATTTTGTTGCCATTCTTCTATATCATGTGTGTGTTGGAGGAGGAATCAATTAGTGCTTATGAAACAAATGGATGTTTCAAGAACCCATTTAAATTGTGGGTTTGAAATCACTGTAGGGTTCATTGTGATTCAAAAATTATTTGAAATGCTGAAAGCCATGTGCTTGAAAACTGGAAGAAAAATAACAAATGATTGTGCAGTGGTTTCAGCACTAAATGTTCCCTGAACTGACTGAGACAAAGGGACTTTCAGGGAGGGAAATACAATCTAATTTATAAGTGTGCATACTTCAAACAGGGTGGAGTTTTGAGGCAGCAGAGGAGCGTTAGTGTCTGTTGTTTCCTCACTTCTCAGTGTTTCTTTGCAACTCTTGTTATTTTTTTAACTGTTTTTCTACAGTATAGGAAGCATTTACTTAGCAACAGTGTATAGCTACTGTTGCTGCTGTGTAACTTGAGCTATACGACTTAGTAGTAATAGTCCACATTACAGTATTAGAACGTTTACTTGATTATTTATATGATCTTAGAGCAGAAAAGTCTATTTTCTCCTTAAGTTGTGTAGGTTTTGGATTTTATTCAAACTGGCTTATTATGGTAACCAAAACTTACTTGCATTACTTTAAGATACCTGCAATATGTTATTTAAATAGATATTATTTTCAAAAGAGAGAAGAGGAATATAACATTTGGATCTCGTGTCTTCTTTATGAAATTGTGTAATCTGCTCAATGTTTCTTAATACTGCAGTGTGCATGGCTACATTAGAGCATCGTTTTACTAGAAAGTCTGATTTCTGCTCTGAATTTACAAACCATTTTGCTTTACTTCTGTTCCTGCAGCTAGTTATAGTTAATACGTACACGTGAGCAGCATCTGAAGGTTAGTCAGCTTGCTGTCTCAGCTCTGTTTCTAGGGGTGTTGCTGCTGTGGTGATTCAAAAAGATTGCGAGCTGACAGGAAAGGTCTAGAAATTGTGACTCTGTCCCCATGAGCATTACTTTCTAACCATCCCATCCCTTTTGTATCAGAAGTGTTGAACAGTGTGCCTGTGTACCTGTAAAACACCTGCTAACAACTTACTGTATGAACTAGGGAAGAAAACAGTATTTTTAAAAGGGCTATTTAACCATGGTCAATGCACTATTATGAAAATAGTTTCAAAATAAACTTCAAATGCTGCTTCAAAGGTAAACTGATTTTCTCTTCGTGGCTGAATAGTATGGATGGATTCTAGACATGCTGGGACTATTTAATAATAGTTTTTGATGCTTAATTTTGAATAACTTTTCAGGATATGACTTTGCATTTCTCAGGTTACTCAGCTCAGAATGTAGTTAGCCGAAACAAAAGATTTGAATCCAACTTAATGTCTTCCAAATGTAGTTGATGCCATGTGGATGAGGCCAGATAACTTTTTATGGGCCTTGAGAAATCAAATTTTAAAGTTAAGTCTGCAGTTTCCCCTAGCATAGCAGTTCATTTGACTTAAGATTTTGCCATGTATGTGTGATACCGAAATGTCATTTACTGAAGCAATTCCAAGAATTTTTTTCTCACAGAGCCCCCTAAGTCTGACTGTACACTTGACTATTACCTTGTGTTATCATCCAGAGATCAGTAGCTATGATCTACTTCATGTGCCTAAATTATGTTGGATCGATGTGTGTGTCAGAGTGTAATACAGCAGGACTTAACAATCCTTTCTTTTTTATTTTTTTTTTCATTTATTTTTTCAAGCCAGAGGCATTGCTTCACTGATCTGTTGATTGCCTTTTCCTTGTAGCATAAAGGAGTGCCATGGGTTGCCTCTTATAAATGGACAGAATTGTGACCCTTACGCAACAATCTCTCTTGTGGGGCCTTCCAGGTAAAATTTTAGTATAAGATTAATGAATCTAAAATGTTATGATCTTAAACTGGAAAAGAAAGTCATAGGTTTTAAGCAAAATCTTTAAAATATAGAAAAATCTTAAAATGCTTTCTGTGTACATCACATGTTCCATTGCTACTGTACTCTCCCCCTTCCCTACCATACTCTAAAGACTATGGAAGTATCTGGTCTGTCTGAATGACCTGTGCTGGTCAAGAACCACTTGTGACTCAGTTCTTTCTGCTCAAGTTTTGTACTGTACTCTTAATATCTGCACTGTACTTCCTACTAATTTTTGTCAAACTCCTGTATGGGATGATATAGTCAATTGCTCAGTCTCCTTCCTCTGCCCCTTCTTCTTCTTAATGTGTGAGTTTTTTCACAGCAGATGTTTAGCATTTGGGAGGAAGAAAGAGACTAGAGGTTCTGGTGAGACCTTTCTAATGCCAGCACCTTCAGGATGCTGTGTTCAAAGTCCCTACAGTTTGAATGTTTTTGGTTGGTTGTTGTTGTTTTGTTTTTTTTTTTTTTTAATTTTTTGGACCGGTAATCCCGAATAAATGTTTATGTTTTTAATTTAAGAAAAATCCCATGTCCTGTACATCCACTATCTCCAAGTCCTTGCCCGGTAACATTTAAAGTAAGCTGGGTTTCAGTTGGTTTCTTTGCACCATCAAGCCTTTATCTACTTTATTCAATACTGAAGAATTGCCACTATGAACATAGTACCAAAATATCTTTTAGCAAACTTGGGTGTTTTAAAGGCTTTGGAGGGATTGTCCTCAAGTAAGGTCTGAATGAATGGAGCATTTTTTTTTCTTCCATGAGCACATATTTTTTAGGGTTGAGTTTTGGTCTTTTGTGTTGTAGTTCTCGTTTTGGTTTTTTGGTGGGCTTTTTTATGTTTGTTTTGGTTGGTTTTGTTTTGGTTTGTTTTTTGTTGGGTTGATTTTTTTTTTCTTAAAGAGAACTAGGGAGATTTGACCATTATACCTAGGAAGCATGCTGCTGATTGCGAAAATAAGTAAATTGACATGTATTTCCTGTCTGATACAGTGATACAGATTGAACTGGGTGCATGTTGGTCCCACAAAATACTTACCCTGTTGGTACTGGAATATATTTGCAAATTTGACAGAAGATCCTGGTTAAGATTTTCCATTCTCAGGCATGTGTGACTCATGTACTGTGGCAGGAATACTCATATGGCCAGTGCCTGAAAACATTTAGTTGATGTATAGGACAACTTCTCTTCTTTGTCTGTTTTCCCCCCACATTTTTTGTTTATTTTCAAAAGCATTTTTATACTATTGTAGTCCTTTAACTACGACTGTATTGTTCTATAAAACATGTAAAATTAAAAAAAAAATTAAAATTACCTATATAAAACACGAAGGAGTGAAGATCAGTTGTTTTGTTTGACCCTATGCTGTATAGCATCTAGCATTGGCAGTGATTCTTTCCAAAGAAAACATTTAGTCGCTTGGTGTAAGCCTCTGTCTGTAAAGAAGTAGTGGGTATTTCCCCAACAAAAGAGGGTGGGAAAAACAGAAATTGGCAGTTGAAAAAGGTAAGGAAAGGTTTGCTCTTAAACTGCAAGCAGTGGTAAAGAAACTGTTTGCAGACTTAAGTTTGAAATGCTTTAGAAATTGTTGGTAAAATTTTCTTGATATGTGTAAGTTATACTCATTAGTGAACTGAAATAGAAGCTTTGAGCTGGGCAGATGCATGATTAACCTGATACAGCACTTGAAATTTTATTTTTTAAAACTATATTGTGAAAAAGAACTCATTTTAATATTTTCTTCATTGGTCAGACTGATCTCTAAAATGGTAAAAAGTTTTAACAGAAATGCATGGGTCCTTCTTGACAGTAGAATGTCTTTATAATTATGTGTTTAAGTTGTTTATGGTAAAAAATTTTACCACATTGGAACAGGAATGACCAAAAGAAGACCAAAGTAAAGAAGAAAACAAGCAATCCGCAGTTTAACGAAACATTTTATTTTGAGGTAACTTTTTGTGTGATATTCTGTCTGTTTAGCTATTTTATGCAACCCTTCAAATGTTTTTGAGCAAGCTGCATAGCAGTACCTAGTGCAGAAAGCTCTCTTAAAGCAAATTGAAAAGTTTTTAACTAGCCTCTCAAATGTAAGTGAATGACAGATTAAAGGCTGCCAGACAACAGCATTCCCTTCAATTGCTATGTGAAAAATTACTTCCTCATAAGCACATATGTGAAGGTAATTAATTTTCTTCAGTCACTTTATAACTCTGTTGACATCAGTTCTGAGAACTTTAACCTACCCGGTGGAATTCAATTTAAATGTTTTTCAAGTAAAATAAGTAACAATTATACCCAGTAAAGGCTAATTGTATTATTTTATTTTTAAAAAATGTTAACTTTTTTGTTATTTAGGGTTTTATTTCAATCCTACAGGAGTTACACTACAATAAGCAAATGACAAGTTTGAATTTTCATCTGATTAGTCTGTATAGTAAAAACAACTTGTAAGCATACATGTTTAGGTAAGAGGTGAAGTAGTACAACTATTGCATAGGACTCAAAATGTATCATAATTTCCTGTGTTTATATAGATCCTGGTCATGCTGTGGGACTTCTGTAAGAAATTGTTCCTTATTTATACATAAATAGGTATCAAAGTATAGCATCCATTTCAGCTGACTTGCTTAACAGAGTGTAATTTCCTAAGAAGTAAGTTATTAGGATGAAAATGTGGTCCAAACCACTCCGATAACTTTATGACTTAAGGTTTATTGGAGTTACACTGACAATGCAATCAATCAAGAAATGAGGAAAATTTAAATAAGTAGTTACAACTGTGTTATAACGAGGGCAAGAAGAGTGGAATTCTTATTTGTTGTTTCTTTAAACATCTTAGTACAAACTTCAGTGCTTTCTTGGGGCTTGTGCTGGATCCAAAGAAATTCTTGTTGTTTCACATCCTACTCCCTTCTTGTTTTTTTCTAATAGATCTGTGCTATAATGCCCTTGGATACCAGCTAGCCCTCATGAGCCTCTACTCTGAACTCTTCTTGGCCCATTTTTCACCTTTCTGTCAAAAGGCAGTTTATTTGGCAAACTGAACTTTGTTTTTAAAAGGAACAGTAACTATTTACCAGCGTGGGGTAGGTTTGGTTTTTTTTTGACATCTGTAATACAACAGTAAAAACAGGAGGAATTTGCTTTCAGGTAACCAGGTCCAGCAGTTACACCAAGAAGTCGCAGTTTCAGGTGGAAGAAGAAGATATTGAGAAACTAGAAGTCAGGTAAGTTGTGTAGCTTACAAAGTGATTTGTTTTATCATTAATAAGTCATAGTACTTGATCATCAAGACAATAAAGAAATGTCTTATTTTAGTGTAACTCCAGAGAATTACTGATCAGACTTGCAGAAAAGAGCCTTCTAATACGTAAAATTACTCAATTTTTTTAGTGTTTATTAGTGAATATGAGGGTTTTTAATTTTTAGGTAATTAATGAGGGAGTGTATCTAGGAGCTTAAACTTGTTTCCTCTCCTTGTGAGTAAAGAAGTGTGAGGACCTCCTATCAACATATATTAGTTTGGGGAGAATATTGGCAATAGAAATTGTGCTGAAGGATAGCAGCATACCTGATGCCAGTCTATGGTTTCAAATGTGTTTTGCCATTTTTATGAAAACAGGGAAAAGCCTCTTTTATCTGGTTCTTAAAAATTTTGCGTTGCTTCTTAGAGGAACTCACGTTGCTTCTTTCACTTGCAAATTCCAAGTGCAAAGTATGTTTCCTTTTTCTGCTCCTTTGCCCCTGGAGCATGTCTGTCTGTATTTATGTTACACAGAACTGGTGAGAGCCCCTGGGCGTGGCTTCTTTTCTTTATTGTGCTCATGCACATAGATGAACCAAATATGCTGAACAGCAGAAAGTCTTCAGGGCTAGCATATGTTGCCTAACAGACATCAGAAGAATAAATTAGTGGTTATTTTTAATAGCCATTAGAGAACTAGATATGTGCATTTTTAACTATTAGATTCATGAATACCTTAGTTATAATTGTGTATTTCATTATAGATGCAAATGTACTTAGAAAAACAGTCATGCCCCAGGAATTCTAGTATTAATTTTTTTTGTTCTTCTTAATAACTGCTGTCTGTCAGAAATGTCAGAGAGGTAAGAAGTAATAGAAAAAAGACCAAGGTGCATGTCTGGCATCTGTGATTCCTTTTGAGGTTGTAAGCATACAAGCTGCTGTTTGGAAAAAGCCAATGCATGTGTGGCATTACAGTGTGCCAAATTCTAGCCATTAGATAGACGTATGTAAATCTGTTGGGTAGAAAGTTCATTCGAGTTACCCAAGAAGAAATGTGCACAGTTTTTGGGGTGAAGACTGCTCAGAATATGTGTATATTGCCTATATCACTTATTTACTGACACAAGGTCTGTGAGGCTGTGAGTGAAAGTTTCACTGTTTGTTTCTGTATCTGTTAATACACCACTCATCTGATTTTTTTTGTTTTAATTAGAATGGAATGAGACTTTTAACATTTTCTGCCTGCATGCATGTGGATTAGTGCTGTAAGGCAGTTACTGTTAACTTGAAGATTTTCAGTTCTCTCTGGGAGAAAAGAAATTAAGCAATGTTCTTTTTTTCAGGGTTGACCTATGGAATAATGGAAATTTGGTACAAGACATATTTCTAGGAGAAATTAAAGTTCCTGTGAAGGTGTTAAGAAATGATTCGTTTCAAGCATGGTGAGAAATGATGGCTCAGAAGTGAATTTGCTTGTCTTGCAGATCTTCCTTTGCAAAGGAAATGTTTTATTCTGTCTGTTAAAATGTCTTCCTATTGTACTCTAGGTAAAAAGTCTTTCTGGAGTTTTGCTCTGCTCAATAAATTTACCCTGCCAGAGGGTACATTTAGCTCTTCTCTTCCTTCAGTCTGCCCACTCACAGAGAATAGCTCATGTGTTGAAGGGGACTGTGTGGAGAGTGAAGAAATGGAAGACTGACCATAACTGTCTCCAGTCAGCTTGCTGGATTTATGATCTTTTGTGCTTTTCAGCCTAACCAGCAAAGATGGAACTTCTCAGAGTTGCATCACTTGTCATTAAATCCCTAAGTCAGACTTCTGGAATGACTGAGAGTTTATTTAAAAATAATCATTAAGTATGGCCCCTTTTTTTTATTATTATTTTCCGCTCCCTTGGGAGGTTCAGAAAATATCTTCTGGAACCAACCCAGTGTCATTTCAGGGGAGCAGGCACCGGAATTTAAAATCTGGAAAGGCAGGTATGAAGGGAATTCAGGAAAGACCGACCTCTGCTTATAACATAGCAGCAACCTCCCTTCTCAAGTTCTTGCAAGCAGGAGCTAATCTTTAGCCCCTTTATTGTCCCAAATTCTTAGTGGCAGGAAATAAGTACAACAGATTCTAATGCTTCAGTGTGTCGCATAGTCTGCATTAATGAACCTTTCAGTACAAAGAAAAGAGTGGAGGAGAAGTAGAAAACACATAAAAAAGAAATGGGTAAATAGGAACTTAATGGAAGCAGGTCTTAGCCAGGAACTGTTCTGACTGTGCTGCATGGACCCACCTCAGTCTCCAAGTGTCTTGCATATGTCAAAGACCAACTCTTAGTGTCTGAATATGATCCTAAACATAATAAATGCTTGTGTCACTATTTCCTATTTTTACGTGGTGCATTGCAGACACAGGCTTGTTCTGCCAGTGCTCTAACTGATCAAAAGCTGTATGACCATAATAACATAATGACATGCCACTGCTAACCTGCTTTGAGAAAGGTTGTATTAGGATGGAGGACTCTTTACCCGTGTATTGTGTTCATACAGCTTTTTTTAATTAACCTGACTCATGTCCAGTTCACTTGAAGCATCAACAGAGAGGTTTATGTCTTTAGGGCCAGGCTGGATGAGGCTCTGGGCAGCCTGATCTAGTGGGAGGTGTCCCTGCTCATGGCAGAGGGGTTGGAACTGGGTGATCCTTGTGGTCCCTTCCAACCCTAACAGATTCTGTTTTGGCAGAGGACTTTGGAGCTCTGGTGGTTCGGTGGTTGGACTTGATGATCTTGGAGGTCCCTTCCAACCTAAATGATTCTATGATTCTATGAATATTACTTCCTAGGCACACCTTGTCTGGAACATTCTCATGTCCAGTTACGATCTGCTGTACAAAACCAGTTCTGTGATTTAAAATAAATTGAATTTTTTTTATACTATCACTAATTTACATTAAATGTTTGTGAACACAGGTGAGGTATAGCAGATAAAACAGTATCAGTAGTAAGAAATATTGGGAAAAGAAGCCTAATAGTCATGCTTTCAAGTAGAGATTCTGCTTGTGCATCAGTTTTATTTTATATTAGCACACCTGAATGGGCAAGCATCCGATTATTAAAAAAAGTCTGATCTTCTGATTGTAGAAATACAAGTAAAAGAGATTGTAAAAGAATATTTGAAGATATGATTTCAGTTTGTTGGGTTGAATGTTGAAACTATCCTGTGACTACTTAAGAGCTGTTAAAGTTTTTGTAGGGCTGCACCTCCTGCTGGAATACAGATGAACTACAGCAAAAACAGATTATTTAATGTATTCTGTATTGAGAGTAGCAAAAAACCACTTTTTTTTTAAACTTGTTTCTTAGGAACACATCCTGTTAACACTATGTATTTTTATTGTTTTCAGACTATGCCATTTAAATTCTTGACACCAGAATTTCTATCTGTAAAGTCCAGCACCCTAAATGTAACCTAGATGTAAAATGAGAGGTCCAGCATAATCTCTCACTATTCTTGCTATCCCAGTTGAGCTATGAGAAGTATATCCCATTTCACTGTTTGGAAAGGTTTGAGAAAATAAATATATGTTTCATTATGTGCTAATGGTGCATCAAATGCTGCTCCTTTGGGTTTTTTTGTGTAAAATTTTTTTTAATTTTATTGCTATTTTTCACACTCGGTTTATGTATTCTGAAATAATTAAATGTGATACAGTGCTTTATTGTAGAAATAGTCTAATGAAATATGAATCTAGTATTTTACATTAGATTGGATGTTCAGAAGATTGTCTTTTCTGGAAGAGTGGTGAGGCACTGGAACAGGCTGCCCAGGGAGGTGGTGGAGTCACCATCCCTGGACGGGTTCAAAAAACCTGTGGATGTGGAAACTGGGGACATGGTTTAGTGGTCATGGTAGTGTTGGGTGATGGTCGGACTTGATGATCTTAGTGGTCTTCCAACCTTAATGATTCTATGATTCTATTCTAGAATTGCCTTGTTGCTTTCAGGTACTTACTTCAACCGAGAGAAAATGGAAACAAGTCTTCTAAAACTGATGATCTGGGATCACTTAGATTAAATATCTGTTATACTGAAGACTGTGTACTTCCATCTGAATACTATGCTTCTCTAAGAAACTTACTGGTAAAATCATCAGAGATTCAGGTACTTGTGTTGAAAATTTCTTTTAAAATGAAAACTTAAAATGAATTATGCAATCCTATGTGAAACAATGTGAATATTCAGCTCAGTGGTCAGGACATAGATTAAGTGGACAGTTTCAACCAAAACTAAAGATTTTTTTTTTTTTTTAACTTTGCATGAATTAATCTGTCACAATAAGATGAGCAACTAATAGAGAATTTACTTTTGCTCCATCTACCAGTATTTTCTTCCTATTTTAGAAGAACCAGCAGAGATAGTGAAATAACTTGTGCTGTGTTACTGGTAGAGATAAAATGCTTTCTTTTCATCGGTTGCTCTTTTCAACATTGTTTTGCCACTGACTGCTATCAGCTCCCTGCATTTAGTGGGGTATTTTTAGTGTTTTTTCAGGGACCTTGATCCATTGTTGGCACTGGAGGGACAGATAACCACCTTTACTAACAATAGTCTGTTTCAGAATGTATTTCTGATTCCACTTCTGAATTGCTTCTGTCTTACCTAGTATTTTAATCACTATGACTGGATTTCTCATGTGGACCTGGGGACAGAGGGAAGTGTGGTAGATGGTTAGCATAACATTGAGATGGGAATCAAGTTATAGTAACTAAGCTTTATATTCATGGATCTTTTATAGCCTTTCTTCATTTCAGGGTTGGTGAAGTACTGGTGGAGGAGAAGAAAGGTAGAGAGGAAGCAGATTGCGACTAAAATTTTTGCTAGTCCATGTTCAAATACTGCTTCACTAGAATTCAGGAAGAGCTGAGCATGTAGCTAGTGGCAGTCAATAGTCACTTACCTTGATCAGTTTTTGTATTGAAATCCCCAATTGTAGAATGGCCACAAATGCTTTACTAGTGCAAGAATTGTGTTTTCATGTGGTATGATTATACTTTTAAAAGTCCTGTAAAGATACAAGACATTGTAGTAAAACAGTTGCTTATTGTCTTTTATTTGGGTTTGTGAGAAAGCCATATTCTAAACCCTTTAGGGAGAATGAGAAGGTTGAGTAGGTGCTGAATTTCATTCTTAAATGTCAAGTATTGAAAAAGTGACAGCAGTTTTCAACAAAGTATTTCTATAGAATGGAAACTTTCAATTGCCATGTTATACAGCAAATGTTGAAACTTTCTGTGAAGCTGTGTCTATAGTCTTGTTAGATTTGATCTGTACTTTGCCAAACCCATGAACATATAGCTGCTTCACTCATTACTTCATATTTTGCTTTCACAGCCAATTTCTGCATCTGCTGCTTACATACTGAGTGAAGTTTGTCGAGACAAGTGTGATGCTGTTTTGCCTCTTGTACGATTGTTGCTACACCACCATAAGCTTGTTCCATTTGTTGCTGCAGTGGCAGAACTAGATCTGAAGGACACCCAGTATGTATTGCATGTTTAGTGATGTCATACCTTTTTAAAGTATTCTTAGAGTTTCAAAGGGCTTCATGATACAGCACTGATAAGTACACAGGTCACATTTCTTTCTCTCATTATGTAAACCTAAACACATTAATTTCTTAATGCTAGTTAATAAAAACACTCATTAAAGTCGTATTGAAGCTGAGAGAGTTAATGGTTGTGTGCTATTTGGTAAAATTTGGTAGAATTTTCTTGGAGCTGGTATACAGCTAAACATAAGCTAGCAGTCTAAAGTTGTGTCCAAGAGCACACAGTTTTTATTTTAAAATGTCGTAATTTGGTCACTCTTCAAACTTTACTGGTACATTTTAGATTGGTACGTAACATTTTTTGAATTAGCAAGACTTATCCTGTTTCCTTTGTTATGTGATATAAATTAGAGGTAATCTTTTTTCTGCAAAAGTGCCTTTTAAGTAAGTAGGTATCCTCCTGCATGCCTTGAAAGTAGCAAGCACAATAGTTTTTTCAAGTAGCCCTGTACAGCCTGTGAATTTGCAGCTCTCTGGTTAGGAGGGAAGTGAAGTAGACCTTTGTAGTGGCCACTGAGGTGCTGAGTCTTGTCCTGTGTTTGTCACTACAAGTTGGTTCATTTCAGAGCTGGCTTTCTGCAGATTTAAATAACGTGAGACAATTTAACTGTGTAGAAAGAGCTGACTCATGGAAAATAATTTTCTGAACTGTATTGTAGTACAGGCATTCCTTTCTGTTATAATTGAACTGTAACAAAGAAAGATTAAACTAAATCTCTGAGATTAGAAGGATTTACTTTGCACAGCTGGCTCTCAGTTTTCTTCAACAGTTATAATGCATAAAAAGCATAACCCTAGACTAAATATGTTTTGGTTAAAGTATCTATTACTATAGTGTAGCAGTATGTTATCTATTGTAGCTCTAAGATTTTTTTTTTTCACCAGGGCTACTAGAGGAAGAATTGTATATTAATGAGGTATAAATCTTCCTTGTTTTGGAAATTTCTGTAGTGATTGTGTCTTACATTTGGCACTGGATTATAACTTGCTTCTCTGGAATCTCATAGGCTTTTCCTTACAGTTTTGTTTATGTTCCTGGTTTTGGTAACAGCTGGAATAATATTTTTGTTTATCCTCTTCTGTTTGAGTGCCATTGCAAGCTGGGTATCTAAGTTCTGGAATTCCTGAGTGAAATATATGAAAAAAATGTTTCTTAAAAAAAAAAAATTAGAGAAAGTATTGATCCAGTTTTGCAGCTGAGCTTCTTTCTTGTTCCCTGTTCAAATAAAATCAATTATTTTCTTACAGAGAAGCAAACACAGTCTTCAGAGGCAACTCATTAGCAACTCGGTGTGTAGATGAAATGATGAAAATAGTGGGGAAGCACTATTTAAAGGTTACTCTGAAACCTGTTATTGATGAGGTAGGTTGTCATAGCACTGGGGTATCCTGTCTCTTTGGTAGGCATTCTTCTTTCACCTCTCTGTGTGGTAGTAATCACTCAGGTGGGGGAATTCTAGAGAAAAGTTAAATTGAGCAATAATTGGTTAAGTTCAGTGGGAGAAGCTGCTTTTTGTTACTTATGTTCCAGATGCTTGAAAATAGACAAGTCAGTGATGGTCACTCCAGCCTCTAACACATTGCAGAATTTACCCATATGATGCTTTATGTAATCAATCCATGTGAAAAGGCACACACAAAAGTGAGGATTGTTATTGAATGCTGTTATGGATGGTTAGAACTTATTTAGAGTTTCTGAATCTAGGACAGAATCTGGTTCTCAGTAGATGCGTTTCCATGCATTCTGTTTGAAAAATTGAACTCCTATAATTTTGTTTGTTTCAGATATGTGAGTCTCCTAAACCCTGTGAAATAGATCCCATCAAATTAAGAGAAGGGGATAATGTAGAAATAAATATGGTGAGTTTCCTGTCTGTTTTTCCTAATTTAAAGTTTCTCAAAATCTGATAGAAAAACATTTTAAAAGGTAGTTCTGTAGGAGAAAAAAAAAAAGAAAAAAATTAGTAAATTACAGTAGCAGTATAATTCTCTGATTTCAGAATAAAAAAAAAAAAGAAAAGTTTTTTCTTATTCCTGTTTGTGAAAGCAGCAAAGGAGAAGTCCAACAGAAAATAGGATGGTGAGGAGAAACTGAACAGAATCCTGCAGTCTTTCTTACTAAGTTGTTGGGTGTTGTGATACCTTACGTTCTGTGCTCCAGAATCTAGATGATGACGTACCAAATTAGGACTGCTTTAACAACACTTTTCATTGAAGTTTTGCTTGACATTTGCCTGTTACCAGAAGATAACAGTTCTTTGCAATGACCTTTAACTGTAAACATTCACTAGGTATGCATGGAAGGTGCTCCTTCCTTGTAATATATTGTTGTTAAATTAGAAAAATGGTATTTAATAGACAGTCATATATTGCCAGACACTACTTACATACTTTAATGTAAATGAATATCATTACACTACCTTTTAACACTTGTAATCCCATATAAATATAGCAAGGCTTTTAAAATATGGACTGTACTAAAGCACATCATTGAGGAATCGGGCATTGTTTTGAAAAAAGGAATTGTAGTGTTATGTTTGTCCAGGAAAAAACAGAAATGCAGATGTTAGTGGTTTGAAAAAATACCTATTTTCATAATTGCAGGAAAATCTACGCTATTATGTAGACAAAGTATTCCGTGAAATTGTGCAGTCAAGTATAAGTTGCCCTACCCTAATGTGTGATGTTTTTTATTCTTTGAGACATCTGGCTGCCAAAAGATTTCCAAGTAAGTGTTCTCTAAAAACTTTTGAAAATGGTATTCAGAGTCAAATACCTTCTGCAGTTACCTTACAAGGACTGTTAACATTCTTACCTTGTGCCTTGAAATTCTTATCTTCACAGTAAGCATTTGTTTTTTCTGTCAATCAGCAAGAATTTTGATACAAAATGTAGCAGGTCAGAAACACTGCAAGACAGCAACAAATAAGTCACCAACAAAAATATGAGATAATAGAAGAAAAACACAAGTAATACAGGAAGCGAGTTAGTTCAAAGATACATAAAATTTGGAAGAGCTTCTCTTTATTGCTTCTAAAGAAGAAAGATGTAAACTTGAAAATAAATTCAGTATTTCCATCTTAACTACATGAGCTGTGGCTCTGTTAACTGTGTACTAGCACATTCATAACTTGTATCATAGAATGGTTTGGGTTGGAAGAGATCAACTAGTTCCAACCACCCTGCCATGGGCAGGGACATCTCCCACTAGACCAGGTTGCTCAAAGCCCCACCCAAACTGGCCTTGAATACCTCCAGTGATGGAGCATTCACAGCTTCCTTGGGCTACCTGTTCCAGTGTCTCACCACCCTCACAGTGAAGAACTTCTTTACATCTAATCTAAACCTACCATCTTTGAGTTGGAACCTGTTACTCCATATTCCATCTGTAGGACCCCTTGCAAAAAGTCCTTCCCTAGCTTCCTTGGAGGGTCTCCTTTGGACACTGGAAGGCCTTATGGTCTCCTCAGAGCCTCCACTTCTCCAGGCAGAATAACCCAAACTCTCTCAGCCTTCTTGTAGGAGAGGGATTCTAACCCTTTAAATATCTTCAGGGCCCTCCTTTGGACCCACTCCAACAAGTCCATGTCCTTCTTGTGTTGAGGGCTTCTGAGCTGGAAATACAAAGTTAGGTTTAGTATTTGTGAGTAGCTTTGAGGACAGTGAGTAATGTAAAATATTTAATACATTTGTAATTTGACCACTATTAGAATAGTTTTATTCTTTCAGAATGGTTTTAATACAGAAATATTGTGGGCCTGAAATACTGCTCTACTATAGCAATTAAAATGTGGAACCTCATATAAGCTACACATGAAAAACATAATCTGGAGCCTTTCTCTGATTCATGTTTGTTATGGGAACTGATGCAAAAAATTTCTCTACTTCAGACAGTCCTTTCCAGAATAGCTAACTTCCCAGACAGATTATATTGAAGTAGTTATTACAGTAAAGATATGATTCCACTATATTTGCCAGTATAAAGATGTATATCAAAAATATTAAATGCAAAATTTCTCATTTACATCATCAAAACTAAATAACACCATAGTTTTATGATGCAGCTTGAAATTAAAGTTGTTCGTATGTGTTGACTGCATTTGTTGTGCAGCATTAATGTATTTGGGTTGATCAGTGGTGAGGTTTCGTGGGTGAGCAAACACAACAGCTCCTAGTGTTTAAAGGCAACTACTAGAGTATTTTTTCTTTTGGTTCAACGTGCATTTAGCTGTACCTAATAAACACTGTGTATGTAGATGTTTGCAATAGGTTTATCATTCCTGGTGGCAGAGCTGATTAGCCGGTTTTAAGAGAACAGAAGGTCTTATCAGGAAAATAAACCCTCCATTAAAAGTAGGACATTTATTGCCATGATCACCTGTCTCATTTCATGCACTTCATTGTTTTTCTATTCTGTTTTAAAATACAAATTTCTCCTCCTATTGCTACCATCTTCTGGATTCTTATGTTGACTGTCTTCATTATTTCCTGTTAAGTTTAGTTCATGTTACATTTCATGGTTTTTCTCTGCAGATGACCCTCATGTACAGTATTCTGCAGTGAGCAGCTTTGTGTTCCTTCGTTTCTTTGCTGTAGCCGTAGTCTCACCTCATACTTTTCATTTACGACCTCACCACCCCGTAAGTTTTGTGAAGCTTTGTTCTGTTTTATTCATAACAGATCTCTTTATCTGGGATGGCATTAGTTACTTTCAGTGGGTCTGTAACTGGGAAATAAGATTACTAGGTGTCTCTAAGTTGAGTTTTCAATTTTATACCTTGCCAAAGGAATTATGACATTTGCAGTTCTTCAAGCGTCAGATTTCTCTGTCTTTATGAGATGTTCTCAAATGATGTAGAAGAGCTAGTGATACTGAAGACACTGTGCCTTTATTGGGAATGTGCTTCTTTGTTAGAGTAGCAACATGACTGAGGGTTCTTTAAGGCATATGCCTAAACTACATTGGTTTTTTCACCGTGGAAGTGAAACATGCAGATGTCAGTTTTACTTTTTTTTCCTAAAAAAATCCATTTGTCTCTTAAATGAAGGTTGTAAAATTATCCTGTAATTTCTCTGTGTATTTATTCTGAACTTTACTAATTGCAGGAGATTGCCAAATCTTCCATTTTCAGTTTTCAAATTTTCACAGAAATGTGGAGATAAGAAAAAAATTACTGGTTTATTTTCAGATAAAATACAGAATATGCATGAAATCTACTGCTCCAGAGGTTATTAGCTTACTTTATCTACCTAAGTATGTTGTGCTTTCAAGAAAGAAGGGAAAAAAAAAAGTTTACTCAAATTCATTCCGTAGATATTATCCAGTTTACAGATTAAAAAGATTACGGGATTTTATAACTTCAGAGTTAAACAATTCAAAGGGAGCAGCAAAGCCCCTTTATGTGGCTGTGTTTGTAATCCTGTACTAAAATTCAAGCAGTGAGTAAATACAAACTTAAGCAAAACCCCTAAAGGCAAAAGTTTTACATTCACTTAGTAATACTAAAATTTCTATAATTTGTCCAGCAACAGTTCATTACGTTTAGTGTTAAGTTTTGAAGAGTTCAGAAACATTAGATGGGTAGTAATTGAAGGATTTGAGGGGTTTGAGATGTCTTATAGGTAAAAATATTTTTGCAAGTACTAATATTAAATTCCAGCAATAGTAAAATATTAAACAGTGTGCAGTGTTTTGTAAAATAGATTCATAAAGCACAAGTATTAATGGAGTACAATAGTGCATACATATTTCTTCTCATTGGGTGAAAAAGAAAAGGAATTGAAGATGTGTCAGGTTTACTACATTGTGTAATATAATAATTTTTGTGACGCTTTCATTTTTAAATGAATTTTTTTCCTGGAATTGTGAAAAAATGTGACTTCTAAGGTTTTTTTTTTTCTCTATTGTAGGATGCACAGACTTCTAGAACATTAACTCTTGTATCAAAAGCCATCCAGACTCTGGGGAGCTGGGGAAGTTTAACTAAAAGCAAACTTGTAAGGCTACTAAAATTACTTCACATTTCATGGACAACATTCTTTATTTCCCTCATTATTTATGTGACTGTACATTTTCTTTCAGTCAAGTTTCAAGGAGACGTTTATGTGTGAGTTTTTCAAAACATTTCAAGAAGAAAAATTTACTGAATCTGTTAAAAAGGTACATTTTAATTATGATTTATTGAATGGTTGATGTAGTTTATTCTTCTTAATTATTAGAAGTTTGTTATTGTTCAGTTTTCTACCAGAGAGAAAAAAAAAAAATTGATCTATTTCAGACAGTGTATAAAAGAAAACAAACAAAAAACAAAACCCCAAAACTACAAAATCCACACAGCCAAATACCTGAGTTATACACAGTAGACTAAGCTAATTTAGTTCATTAAATAAAAAAGTTGGGTTTTTTTTAACATATTAAATATATTAAATCTGCTCTTTAGGAATTAAAGAAATCTTGTGTGGCTTATGGGCATCCCTTGTTACATTGTTCCAAGTTCTTGCAATGTAATTTTATTTCATATGTTGCATAAAGTAATCGTTTTGTTCCAGGAGGAGCTGTACATGTATATTTTCAAAATAGCTTTTGATCTGTATTTCTGAATAGTATATATTTCCTGTGTATTTTTCCTTAAGTTCCTAGATGATGTTTCCTCTGCTGAAAGTAAAGAGCCCAGTGGTCTGAATGAACCAGTGCATCTAAAAGAAGGGTAAATACATCTTGAAATCTGTGTTACGCCAAGCAGAATTGACTTTACTGGTTTTTCATTAATGCTAGCATCAGATTAATGTCCATTAAAATGTTTGATATACTGTAGAAATTACAATATTTATAATGATAAGTTTTTTGTTAATTTGCAGAATTAGTTTAAACCGACAGCTGTAAACTTTCATAACTTGTCTTTCAAATACTTTGGAAAAAAATAATTTAAAGCAGCTTAAAATTTATTAAAGCCTGTCTGCATTTCTGTTACAATTCACTGTGTGCTCTGTGTGATGGTTTATTTAGGATTGTGAAAGTAAAACTTAAAAGAACATATTAATTTAATTTTATAAAAATTGAGGTGAAAAACTTTCCTTTCTTTTTAAGAAATTAACTGTCTTTTAATATGGTTAAGAAGAGCTGACTCAGACATCTATGGGGAAGAATATTTGTATTTATCTGAGAAGTAGATTCATAGCAAGTAAAGATTCTTTTGTGAAATGAGAACCCAAATTTCAAACAAGGAAGAAATGTACCACTCATTAAAATTCTAAGTAGAAATGGAGACAGTTTTAGTGGAACAGCACTTAATTGCAGCAGTCTGAAAGCCAATCTGTATTACAAATTGAAGACTTACTTAAAAAAAAATGTTGCCAGTGAGTACACTTGAAGTGTAGTTAATCCAGTTTGTGCCTGCCCTTGCTGTGTGAGTGGTGTTCAGCTACAAAGAAGATTCTGGGTTGCATACTTTTCAAACTGCTTTCCTGGTTTTGGAACCCTATACACAATCACCATACTGGGAGGTAATCTTGACAATATATTTTGAATGACCAGTAGATTTTCTTAATCTACAATGAAGTAAATTTTATGTTGCTGCTGCTATATATGCACAATATTGTGTTACCTTAATAAATGGTTTGGAAAGCTCTTCTGAAGACTAATGGTTTCACTGAATTTGACTCTCTTTACAGAGAAATGTACAAAAGAGCTCAGGGAAGGACTCGCATTGGTAAAAAGAATTTCAAGAAGCGGTGGTTCTGTCTAACGAGTAGAGAATTAACCTACCACAAACAGCAAGGTAAATTATGTTTATTTTACTTTTTTTTTCAATATATTCTAAACATTTGCATTGTGTCGTTACCAACACCCGATCCCCGGGATCTCTGCTACCCAACCTCTGCCGTTGGGTACCATCACAGACACAGGCTTCAATATGAAGGATGTTGCAAATGGCGTTTATTGCGCAGCTGCAATTGCTTATATAGCACAAGCCACACCCACAAGGCCCCTCGTGGGCAGTCTGAGCTTTCCGTTACATCGCGAGATCTTCCGCACGCCGATCCCTGCCTAGGGCGGGCTCTGCTCACCACAACAGCATTGATCTGTCGTTTTGAAAATGCATATTTTTTTTCTTAAGCACATAAAATGTTTTAGTTACCTGTGCCCTGATTGCTGAATGCTTCTGTGATTCATGTACATTTTCTCAGTAATAAAAATGCAAAAATTACTTTACTCATCTGTTAACAATTTTTTACAGATAAAGAACCAATTTTCACTATTCCAATCAAAAATATCCTTGCAGTGGAGAAACTTGATGAGAGCTCGTTCAACAAGAAAAATGTGAGTCAAAAGATAGTTTATATGGAGTTCTTGATGTGTTCTTTAAATAAAAGATTATAATTAGCTTATAGAGTTACTGTGAAACCCTAGTAATAAACACTTCAGCAAAAAATCTTTTTGGGATCAGGCATACAAAGCTGTATGCAATACTTCCAAGTACTCTGAATATTGAACTTAACCTGGGCATTTGGGTCTCTTCACCAACTTCTCTGACTGATTTTAGGACATCTGCCCCACTTTGCTAATTTCTGGAATGTAGGTTAAATCTACCATGACCATATTACAAGGCTCTTTTATATAAGGTATTAATAGTATGTATTATGTTATGTTCTACAAAAAAGGTAATATTACCAAACTTGTAATGTTAATTACAAATAAATTACCAAACTCTCTTTTCATGAGCACTTCCTGCAACCCCCTAACTGCTGTTGTCTGTGCTGACAGCCTCATTCCAGACCTGTAATGCATCAGTATTTCTGTTGTCACTTCAATCCAAAATTCTGATGCAGTGCTAAAAGTACAGCTGTTAAGCTGAGAATGACTAAACCAGAGACTTCTGGGAATCTTCTGTTACTTCCAGGATATAAAGCGTCAAGTTCGAGGTCACATGTAAAGATAGGTTGATGAAGAGGACAGAAAATGCATCATGTTCTAATTCTTTAAGGATTGTTTTTTTTGGATGAGGAAGTTGTATAGGCAGGACCCAAGGAGCTGGTGGGTTTTTTGGGGGGGAGTTGGTTTGGTTTGGTTTTGTTGTTTGTTTGTTTGGGGTTTTTTTCCCCCTAAATAGGGTTCTGTAGTAAAATGAAAGAGGTGAAGTCTTCCTTTCTCCCGTGTCTCTGTATTAACATGGCTTTGTTGAATTGCCTGAGCTTTGAAATCAGTTTTGACATACTCAGAGTTGCTCAATAGCTGGATTTTTTTTTTTTACTGAACAGCATAATGTTGAGTTCTTTCTACAGATGTTTCAAGTACTACATGGAGAAAAGCCACTCTACATCCAAGCCAATAACTGTGTAGAAGCTAGTGAGTGGATAGAAGCTCTTTGCCGGGTCACGAGGTGCAACCAGAAGAGGCTTAGTTTCTACCACCCTTCTGCTTTCCTGAACGGGAGCTGGCTGTGCTGCAAGGCCACGGTGGAGAACACAGTGGGCTGTGCGCCTTGCACCGCGTGAGTTGCTTCTCAGATGAAAATACAAATGCTTTGTAGGACAGATAACATATGACTCGTTATACAACTTGAAAATCTGGAGGTGAGGCTTTCCCTCCCTACTTCAGCAAGTTATGCTCCTAGAAATCATGCCTGACTAAAAAGACCTGAAGTGTTGGATTTTACTGTGTCTATTACTTTGTCAAACACCATATGAAATGAAGGTGACCAATTCAGCATGTGAGTCAGAAATATTGAAAGGTTGGTTTCCTTGCATGCAGAATAATAGATTTCTTTAGCTTAGGTTTATTCAGATGCCAAGCTGAATGCAAAAAGATGACAGGCCTAGGTCATCTATATTGAAATAACTTGCTGCAGAGTGCGCAGCCTAGCTCTTTCCATAGTGACGTTTGTCTTGTTTTCTACACTCACCTTTTTATTTTAAACTTGCATATTTTTAAACACAGTGTACTAAGAAAATCCGTTAGATAATCTTGAGGGGTTGGTTCTGAAAAATCATTTTGTTTCTGTAGTTATGTCAGCAAAAACAAATAGTCTTATAATGCATTAATGTCTTTCTTTCAGGTGCTGATTTCTGAACACAAACATGTTCTGATCTTTTTTAAAAATAAATTTATCCTTAAATCGATAGGTTGCATAAATTTCAGACTAAGGATTTCAGTCAGTCCTCTAAAATTCAGTTTAACTCCTACAAAATAACTTTCTGAAAATATATATAGTATTTTTTCTGTGTTGCTCAGTTCATTCTTATGTTAGATTTCTTAACAGTTCAAAAGGTTCCAGGTCCTAAATAACTTGTTCTTGTCATTCTGGTTTTTCAACTGTTCTGGTTTGGGAATGTATCTTGTCGTCTTGGTTACCTTTCACACATAGTAGATTCTAAAAGAAGTTTTACTTGTCATTTTATAACAATTAACCTTATCTTGATATTTTTAAAATATTTTTTCTCTTGACATACTGAATAATAAATATGGGAGAAGCAATTTTTAGTATTGCTGTATTCATTGCCCCCAAAACTCTATATACCTGTTTCTGTAGAACACTTGCAATGAATGCTGAGATTCGTGTAGTGATTGTGAAGCTGTGAGTGATAGACACATTAAAAGGCTAAGTATATTGCAACAGAATTTAGTTTTTACTTGCTTTTAAACTTTTCAAGATGACTTATCTTGACTACCCATCTCTTTTTTTTCACCTTTTAGAGATGTTCCTGCTGCTACTCAAATTGAGATTGATGGAGACAGAGAGACAGAAAGAATTTACTCACTTTTCACTACCAACATGTCTAAACTACAGAAGTTGGAAGGTACTGAAATAATTGAGAAGAATTTTATTGATATTGTTCAGCTCTAAGTCTTTAGGTCCATAACATCAATTCGATGTCTTAAGTACTTACCTGAAAATAATAGGGAGTAGAGACACAGGTCATATATTTTGTTATCTTAGTGTTCTCTTATCAGACATTCTTCTGTCATTTCTTTACAGTAAACATCAGGCATGCACATTATTCTAATTGAATTTGCATATATGAAATATCTTTAATTGCCTAAATAGAAAGCCTGTCACTATAGCTGGTTGCTCTTCTGTCTTTTCTCCCCTTCTGACTAGGGAGTGAATTCTGTTGAACATGGTTGAGTTGCAGTAAAGCATTGACCTTCTGTTACGTGAACAGGAGAGAGCTGGATGCTCAAGATGCTGAACACAACCAGCAGAGAATAAGCCACAGAACTGTAAACACAGCTAGTTGATACTGTCTCCTGCTTTCGTCCTAACTCATTTTATGTATAGAGTAACTTTACATTTCAGAATTCAGAATTACCATTTACATAGGAGTTAGATCTGTTTGTTAATTATTGAAATTCTAATTGTGATAATTATGTTAATTTTTGTAGAGGCTTGTGGAAGTATAGCAGTCTATCAAGGTCCACGGAAAGAACCAGATGATTATTCAAACTTCACAATTGAAGATTCTGTAGCAACTTTTCATACACTTAAACAGATAATAGATATAGTAAAAAAGCTGAATGAATCACATGAAAAATACCGAAAGAAGAGATCATCTAGTGCTGAATATGGTAGTGAGTAAGTGTCTTGTAATTTTGACATACATAAATGTGGGCTTTTTTCATTTAAAAAAAAAAAAAAAAATCACGGAAAAGGCCAGGTATGTTTAGGTAGAGATAATCAAGCTAAAGGTAGACAACACAAAGACATGGAGAAAATAAGTACATCTTTTGTAGTAATGCAGCTTTTTACCAGTTGTTAAAGATATCAGAAGTTCCTGTGGTATTCATCTGTGTTCCTGTTGAGATTCCCGTAAGTGGTTGCAATGATTCTTTCATTTCCTTGTAACTTAAGATCTGAAATGCACACTAAATGTATCAGTAATTTTGACTTTTTTTTTTTATTTCAAATTTCAGTTAAATAATTAAAATATCAAGTTTTATAAAATTGCAAAAATTACACTTCAAAAACATCTTTCATGCAGTATATTTACTGCTTGCAATTCACTTATCATACTCAATGATAAATACAATTTCTGGTGAAGTTAAAAGAAATCTGATCTTTGGAGTACATTGTTGTTCCAGAGCAGGTTCTTTCAATTCTCTTCAATCCTGGCTGATATCTATAGAGCATTACTATCAAGGTTTCTGATTTGTTCTTTACATCAGTAAGGCTTGAATCACTAGGGGAAAAAAGACTGCTCAAACCCTGATTTGATTTGCCTAGTTTAGTATCTGATCCAAGTTGTTCGAAAAAATTCACTTTGATTTAGAGGTCTCATGTAAAATTATATGAGGTTTTCTGGAAGTCATGACATTTCACAAGTAGTGGTAGAAATTATGTAAAGGCTTCCTTAATAAGTTAGAGTTGTATGGTGAGAACTAGAAAGCAAATTATAACCTTTAAAATATTTACATATGATATTTTATTTTTTCTAGAGAAAATCCAATTGTTGGAAAAGTTTCCTAACGCTTGGATGAAAAACGAAACTGGACATGTTCTTGAGCATCTGGGGTTTTTTTGTGTTTGTTCATTTTGTTGTTTTTAAATCACTGTATGCATTTTTACAAAGTATTTAAGAAAGAAGATAAATGCTAGTTGTGTTGACAATCTATTTAATATTTAATAGAAAAATACCTACTTGGAAATTTGGTCTTAAGGTTCATTCTCATTCTGCTGAAGACTTTGATGTTCCAGGTTCTTGAAGTAACAGGTGTGAATAACTTGTTTTGCCAACGTGGTAAACAAATAAGCCTTTTTAATGGAAGAAAATCCACATTGCGTTTGTTAGTTGGATTACACGTCTAAATATATGCACTGCAAACTTGCATGAGTTTACCATGAGTGCCTGCCCTGCTGATATGGATCTTGAAATAGAAATCCCAAGATACTATGCCATGGAAAAGATCTGAGGCTTCAGTCAATTCATTTTACTTTTTTCCTTGTATTAGGTTTTGTCAGGACTTGATTTTTCTACAGCTGAAGTCTTACAAAATCATGCAGTATGCTGCAAATGATCTGGACAGTAGATACCACTGTCAGTTATGTTTTTAAGTACTAAGGAAGAAGAAATCAGGGAACTTATGTTGTACCTCTGTTTACATTTGGGGTGAGTAATACATGGAGTGACCTTAGACCACTGTCTGTTTTCTTGAGAATTTTTTAAGGTACATATTTTTTTCTTAATCTAAAAGGAAATGCAGAGTAGCAATATTGTTTTTAAATAAGTTTGCCTACAGATAGAAAAATTTAAATATGAACAGAATGTGATTAAGTACGAATCAATTTACATCATCCCATGTATGATTTTTATTTCCTTTTTTTTTTTTTTACATGAAAAGTAATAACTAGGTCCAGCTCACCTTTCTCACAAATCTAATAAATAATCTTTATATCTCACTTAAAGCACTTTAGATATCTGGACTATCCCGGATTATTTTTAGATACTTTGTAGTATCTGCTTGTTATGATCAGTTGAATGATCAACATTGTTTTGTCTTTAAGCAATGCTTCAGTGAGTATTTTTATATCATTAGTTATATGGATTCATATTTGCCACTTAAAACAGTTTAAAACTGGCATTCTTGAATTTAATAAGGTTAGGTTTTGCTTACTTCATCTATGAAGTTAGGTTTATGCCTAAAGAACATACATGTATATAACCAGGAAGATGCAAAGGTATTACTGTGGCAACTTTGCTTCGTCAGTGTTAAATACAATGGTACTCCTTGGACTATTGTATTTAATAATAACGATATGTGGTACTTTTATATTTGAAGCATTTGCTGTGGGGTATTTTGTTGTTGTTTTGTTGGATGTTTTTTGGGTTTTGTTTCGTTTCTTACAATCGTGATTTGACCAAATTAATTAGGAATGTAACTTACAAAAAGAATAGAAACCTACAGAGCTTGGAACTGAGCTGTTTAGGTCGCTGTTCATTCATTATACTGTTGTGGGGATGCTTCTGTCACAGAAGCAAGTTGGCAAGACAGGAGTGGAATCTGTTTTGGGAGGAATAACTATTTGGTTTAATACTAGATAACTGTTTTAGAATATCTGGGATTCAGTTCTAGTGGCTGCAACCTCACAATCATTTAATCACCTCAGTTGTTTTTGCCTTCTCCTTTTCTATATATTTAATGTATTCTAAGGGGCCTTTTTTTTTCGCCAGCAGGCGAAAACTGGGGGAGAGGGAATTACAGTAATGCCAAGAAATGTGTTTTGCCAGAGTAAAGTGGGTCTGCTTAATTGCCATTAATAAAAAGCTGCCATTAAATAAAGTTCAGTATCACTGAGCGTCAGTTAGGTTTTGATCTATATGAATTAATTTTGTAGCAAAGTTACTGTTTCTTGGAGCCATTTTCTGTTGTTTTTAAAGCCAAATTTATGAAAAATTAAATTGTATACTCTTCCAACTTGTATTTGTTTAGGGTTTTGTTTGTTTGTTTTAATATGCACTTTTTTTCTGCTTTGGTACTGGAATATCTAAGAAAAAGAACAAAGACCATTGAGTATTTGTGACCATTAAGATTTTATTTCTCATTTTATAATGTTCTAAAATGCAGTAGATGTTCTAGAATTTAATTAGATACAGGTAGGATGATGAATAATAAAAGTTGCCTTCATTTTGATTAGTGTAGAAAGATGATGTTATTCAGTAATTAGTTCTGTTAGGACTGTAAATTGCTATTTGTTTTAATTTGTATTATGATGCATTGTAGAATGTATTTTTATTTAAATTTTATTTTCATATCAAGACATTAAAATGTTGTGTAACATTGAGAGTAACTCAAATAAATTACAACAAACTTGAGATACTCTGTGTGTTTATTGTGAGGCCTGGCTTTTTAAAACATTAGCAGTTATCTGAAGACTGAATTAACAGGGCTTTATATACAGGAGTTGGGTACAGAGAGAGACATGTAGTTGACAGGAGGAAAACCCAGTATTAAGCTGAGGGAACTTCTATGGCCATCCTAAGAATGGTTGGAGAGAGAAGTGCATTTAGCATGCCAGTATGCACAGAAGCCTTAATAATTTGATAGTTCTTAAAATGTTTGCAATTGCTAGTATTGAAGAATATCTAGTACTATGTTAATAGTGTTATAAGACTAATTTTTTTTCTTGCTTACTGATTTCTTTCATTACCTGTCCTATATAATTTGTCAGACATATTTTATATGTATTTCATATGGAAAAAATAGTCTTTACTCTTCTTCATCTTCTTTCTTTATGTAATCTGGGCACTTTTTTTGCCACCTGCTCTCTCCTCCTGTGCTTATGAGCATTTTTTATAAGATAATTTTGTATGAGTGCGTTTTAAATGTCTTGATATGTTTTTTTCCCTTGTACAGAGAGCTGACCTTGTTGTCTTTTATTGATGGTGTGGAAGTTACAGTGCAAACCTTCCAGCCATTTTGGAATTAATTTAGATTAATTCTGAAGTAAGCTGTATTAAGGCCAGTCTGAGCAGTTGCTACATTGATTTGCAGAGATCAGAAAGCAAAAGAAGTTTAAATCCTTCGATTTTAAAAAAAGATCTGTAGAAGATTTTTTCAGTCTTCTCAAGAGAGTACAACAATTGGCAAACAAGAACCTAGTGTAGAATTTGATAACATGGTCTGGGGCCTTTGTCCCCATTGGCTTTAAATCTGCCTTCAGAAGAAGAGAGAGATGAGCCTGGATGTTCTATGAATAATGGAGAAGTTTCAAGGGTTCAACCTTAATTAAAGCAGGTCAGCAAAATCAGGAGCGATTTAATCTCCCCAAGCAAAGTTATTAACTTTTTTTGTAAAAATTCTTTAAAGATTTCACTTCTATGTATTAGGTGCCATGGTGTCCATTTGTTTCACTTAATGAGTAATGCACAAGGCACTTAAGAATCTGAACTACTGGTACTTCTGTCTTTGAACTCGTTCTTGGACTTCTGTACAGTTCGTGCCAAATCACCTATGTATGCAGCAATGGAGGGAAGATGGTGAGGATGTACTTCTTAAAACTGCTACTCTGAGTAGCAGCATAGATCTGTGATTTCTTCACTCCAGTCTCCTTTCCAGTGAGATTCTCCCAGTGTGAAGGCAGTATCCAATTTGTTCCACAAATGCAGTATGTTTCTCCAATTCCTGTTTGGTTTCTTTATTTCTGGATGCCCCCTTTATGCTTTCTTTCACAGAAGCTATACTACTAGTTACTGTCTATTTTCTCTTTTGGAGAATTGCATCAGGCAGCTTTGGTACCTTTAGAACTGCTAGAGGTGGTTGTGTCACAGGAGACAGCTGGAGTGCTGATACAGCACTGCTGCCTGTGCTGTCTGCCCCCATTGCAGCCTCACTGTCTGCCCTTCCTCAGGTCTCAGCTATAGCCACAACAGCATTATCATTACTGGCCATTAACAGCCCTGTTTTAACATATTCCT